TTTGTTTTTGCCAAAATTAAATTTTAATATTTATCTAAAACTTAAGATACACTGGAGTTGAAAACAATAATCACTATCCTTTATAAATACAAGAATTTGGCCCTCCCTGATGGCACAGCGGGTTAAAGCACAGCACTAAGAAGCTTAAGCCACTTCCACATGAGTTCGATCCCCGCCTGCCCCGGAGGAGATCCACATGGCGCGGCAGACCTCTCCTGACCTGCCCGCTGCTCCCCTCATCAGTGTACTTCGTCGATCTGCCTGTTCTGCTTCCCACTCTGTCTCTGGTGAATCCTCTCGCTCTCCGAATCTCTGGCCTGTACCCCAGTTATGTATGAATAAATAAATAAATCTTGAAAAAAAAATACAATAATTCGCAGCCATGTTAACTTGGGGGTGAATGGAAGATGTCTGCTCACTGAGTAATGGATTCATTTATTCATTCATACATTCAAACTCTTCTATTTAACTATCCACGTCATTGATTCACATTTGACAGATATTCACTAAGTGAATATCTGAACTAAGCCCTGAGGGTACAGAGGTCAAAGTGATAGACAAAGACACGCATTCCCCCAAATGGGGCCACACTGTCACCCCAACTCCCAGTGGATGCAACAATTAAGACCCAGAGAACAAACAGGATTCAGCCTAGAGAAGGTCTGGGGTGGAAGTTTTGTTGAGGGGAGGGTGAGTGTTGGATATAGGTAAAGAAACCTGTGCAGACAAAATCTGGGGGTTAGACAGGACAGGCAGGGAAACAGTAACAGAAAGTCTAAGGTAAGGCCACAGAAGGGCTGCTTGGAAACGATGAACTTGGCGGATGTGTCCTCTAAGAAGCACTTTCTGGCTGTGGAATGTAAAATGGGTGGGCAGATGATAACAGGGATACAGTCAGAGATGTCCTACGGGCCAGGGTGGTGGCAATGGGAGGCGGGAATCAGATTCACAGGCAGCTTAGAAAGTGGGTGACTTGTTAGGTAAGGAGCAGAGTGAGGAAGAGAGAGTCAAAGTGTCTTTAGGTTTATTTTTGATTAACAGATGAACAGATGGGACTGGACCTTACACATGACATGGGTTTAAAGGAGAAGAGCTAGACAGGAAGGTAACCTACAAGATTTCAAGTTGTCGAAACATAATGATATTCAGAAATCTATGAAAAGTAGCCCCATCAATGTTAAAAAATTGTGTTCTAAAACTAGTTGAAGCTATTACAACACAATTTTAAGTTATATGGGATACTGGCATGGGCTGAGGAAAGCAGCTGGTACAAAATGTCCTCTGAAAAAAGTGAGATGAAGTCTCAACCCAGGTTATCTTTATTTGTGACTTTAATTGGAAACCAAATAGAGTCAAGTTAAAATGAGATTATCTGGATTAAAATGGGCCCTGACTGATGTCCTTGTGGGGGAGGGGGCAGGACTATAGACATGTGGAGAGAACAAAGCCATGTGAAGACAGAGGCAGAGAACAGACTTACACTGCTGGCCTAGGGATGCTGGAACCAGCAGGAGCTGAAAGGGGCAAGGAATGACTCTTAGAGCCTTCGGAGGGAGCGTGGTCCTGCTAAGATGTCTCAGATGTCTGTCTCCAGAAGGTGGGGAAAATAAACCCCTATTGTGTTAAGCCATCTAGTTTTTGGTATGCTGCTATAGCAGCTAAAAGAAGCTAATAAAAGGAAGAAAACTTTGTTTTTAACTTCAAAATAAATTGGGGGAGGTCCTCCCTGGTGGCGCAGCAGGTTAAAGCACAGCACTGGGCAGATAAAGCCACTTCCGCATGAGTTCGATACCCGCCTGCCACGGAGATGACTACATGGCGCAGCAGACCTCTCCTGACCCACCCGCTGCTCCCCTCAGCAGTGTACTTCATCAATCTGCCTGTTCTGCTCCCCACTCTGTTTGGTGAATCCTCTCACCGCCACTGCACCTCTGGCCTGTACCTCAGTTCTATATACACAAATAAATATTAAAAAAAAAAAGTTTTTACATTTCAAAGTTGGGAACAATAGTATTTAATCCTTAGGGATATTCAATTCTATATACTAAAGTAGGTAATTATAAGTATGTTCTTACAAATTACATGCATATGCTATTATAGTGCTATTATTCATTAACTTGTGCATCCAACATGGCAATCCAGTCTTTTTTTATTATGATTTTATACCTGTTCCAGGTCTGACAGATTCATACAGTGCCATGTTCTGCAGGCAAAGCTGGTGTTCAGCCTGCCATCACTCTACTTACTACCTCTCAACTGGGAGTGATGTGGCTTGTGAGGGACATATGACAAAGTCTGGAGACATTTGGGGATTGTTACAGCTTGAAGTGAGGGGCTACCAGCTAATATTAGACCAGGAAAATCCAGAATACCACTAAAACATCCAACAAAGCACAGGATAACCATCTGATTCCCCCTCCCCCCCCCCCCCCCAAAAATAATTAGCCTTGATGGTGATAAACAGAGAACTCTGTTCCTTTACCCATAATACCTGCAGTCAACATTTCAACTACCAGAGAATTCACTTTCTCATCAGAAATTGTCAAACAAAACACAACTTCTGAAATGTAGCAGAACACACACTGGTACAGGGGTTCCCATCAGCCCAGAGCCAAAGTCTGAAACTTCTTTTTGCTGTTCTGAAGAAGTGCTCTCTTAGAAGATAGCTCCATGGTCACCAGCAGTGACGCATGTACTAGAGAACCCAGGCAGCCACACACCCCAACAATTTGTGGGACGTGTTTACATAAACTGTGTGTCAGACTGGATCAGAGAGGAATAGGAACTGTCTAGGATTTTCCCTGAAGTTACAAACCACTGGAGACATAGCAGCTAAGCTCCTTTGACTGAAGCCTGAAATTACAATGAGAGAGTAGATGGCTGGATGGGGCCCCCTGTGCCGCCGCAGGTAACTAGCCTTTGTCTCTATCTCGCAGCCGAGCGAAATGATGGCCTTGCTTCATGTCATTGTCTCTCCTGCAGACTCTGGCATGTGAAGCATTTGCAGTTGCCTCCAAAGCTACAGGGTAAGTAGGGATGTGCATACTGTACGTCTTTAGGCAAGCCTGTTGCCACCCTGACGGCATATGCAGATCATGAATAACTTGAACACCAGTGCTAACTCCCTTCAAGGTAAGAGCATGTGAGCCTTTCCATTGGAACTGTATATCTGGCTCTTTCTTCAAAGAATAATTCTAGTTCAAATATCTGAGCAATTAAATGTGGGATTGAGAGAGCAGCAATATTAATTATAATGGCAAATTTTCCTGCATTAAGGTTAGTATGCTATTAAGTAGAACAGTATAGATATTTGATTCTAACTTTCATACAGTCATATTTATTAGATAGGTCTATGTAGGTACAAGAGTAAAAGTTGCACTGTACTGGCCCATCATGTTTTCATCATGTCACTGAAAGCATCACAGTCAAAACTACAATTATATTTAAAGTTGGTTTGGTGCTGTCAATGTATATTTTGTTATTATTAAAATCAAAAACTTAGTTAAAGCTTTAGGTCTATTGAGACAGAATAAATATTTCAACAGCTGGAAGATGTTAAAAGTCATGAGTTCTGTCATTTGAAGAGTAATATAATTACTCTCTCCTTAAAAAAAAAAAAAACACGAGGCAAGCCAAAGAAACAAGCTATTTCATATAAAGAGCAATATAATATAAAAATCCCAAAATTATAATTCCTCTCCCATCTTTATTTACAAAACTTACTTAGTGACTGCATGTATCTAAACTGCCCTAGGAAAAAGAAGAAAATATCTTCTTGAAGTTATGAAAAATACTACTTTCCTAAGCATGAAAAAGAAGTATCTGTATCTTTATATACTTTCCATAATTATACTGTGGCTTTTCAGGGTAGACAGTGCAAAGTTTTTATTTCAGCTAGACAGCAGAAATAATTCATTTTATGGTTTTATTATACGAAACAAAGAGAAAAAATTATATTTGTTATAATTTAATTTTCAATTCCAAGCTAAAATGTCAATAACTCTGAAGTAGCATTCCAGTTAAGATTTCATGATAAATTTGGACGTTGATTTAATATTTCCATCGAAGCCTGCTTCCATGTCTCCTTGTGTACCCATGTGGACCTTACTCCTACTACTATATGTCAGACCCTCAGCCCACCATCACTACATTCAAATGTGAAAGAACACACCACAAATTCATGTTTTTGCTCTAAGTTCAAGTTCTAGGAAAAATGAAACGTTTATCTAGGACCAGCTTGAAAATGCTTTATAATTCTAGATATGTTTGGTACATTTAATAAAGCACATTCCCTGGAGGAGGTGTGTCTGTGTGTGTGGTGGTATGTGTGGTGAATGCATATGGCATGTGTGTTTGTGGTATGGCCCGTGAGGTGTGTGGTGTGATCTATGATGTCTGCATGTGTGTATGTGTGTGTTTAAGTGGGAACAGTGCTGCAAAGAATAAGTCTCCACAGTATTCCTCATGTCTCTGCAGAGCTGGCCATGAATACACAACCAGAAGTCAGAAGTAAGAAGAAAAATACTGCCAACCCACTGACATGTTTTCTTCTCTTTAGAAGCGAGTGCTGGAACACTGCCAACATCCTTCCAGTCACCGGAAAACTGTTTAGACTAACAATCAAGAGCAGTAGATTTTAAATTAAGGTATGAGGCGCAAGAGAGTTGTACTCCAGCCTAGTTCCAATTTTTAACTGTGTGATACAAATGTTCCACACAGAAGTGTAGAAAATGCTAATTGGGGGTAAGAGTGTTGTCTCCCTGAGGACCCATGAGAGCCAAAGATAGAACATGTAATGCACTTACAACGGTGGTAAGCAAGCTCTGGAAGCCAAGACGATGCAGATAACGACTTAAGTCTTAATAAAATGAAGCATAAATGCTACTGCATCCCATCTAATATATGAAATCTTTAAAGGCCGATCACTTCTAACAGACATTCGGATCCCAGAGCTTCCAACTGTATGTCCAGCTGGCAACACCAGAAAAAGGCTCACTTACCTCTTCTTCTTTGTAATAATGAGCACATCATTAAAGAGAAAGAAGTAGACTTGCTGCTTGGACGTCCTTCTGGAGAATAGGACCGTGTCTTCCACATAGGCTGTTAGCTCACCTCTCTTGACCAACCACCGTGAAGAGGAGACTAGAGGAAAAGGCTACAGAGAAGGAAAATTCAGTCCCTAATTAAAGTCCTTTTAAGATTATTAAAAGTAAAATAGAAAACTTAGAGTCAAAGAAATGATACACATTATAATAGGTGTCATTATGAGGATCACTTTCTATAGTATATAGTAGTGAAATTGAATTATAAAGTACAGCAATTCCCAAATACAAAATGGAGCAGAATAATTTTCTTTCCAATATAAAAAGCCATTAACTTGCCTATATAACAACTAAAACTCAATGAGAAAGTGTTATTGAGATGATCCAAAATTATAATACAGTAACTTTTAGCTAAAAGATTGACAAGAAAGGACTCATTAAAATTGGTGAGTGTCATGATGAACCTGTTGGTATCACCTGCAGTTATTTTAAATACCACATATCAGAATCTAAACAAAAGGAAAACACATACATAACTGCATTTAACAGGAGACAAGTAAAAAAGTTCATATTGTCTTTATAAACTATAACATCATTCAAAAGACAAAAATCCCCACACACTTCTGTTTTGTCTACTAGAGATCTACTAAAAAAAAATTGAAGAACATCTGTTGCTAAGTGGAAGGTAGTTTTCCTCATGGATGTTCATCCCTGAAAGCATTGTGCCACTTTCTTACTGCTAAAATAAAGTTTTCACTTAATAATCCATCCTACTCTCATAAAAAAGACTACACAAGTAATTATATACTATCTTTTTTTTATTCAGTTTCTAGCTTCCAGCTGAAAATTTACCCAAACCACTTCATCCCACATAAGCCCCCTTTAAAAGTTACCAGAAATGCTTACTGACAAAAATCTCATTTAAAAGTGCTAAATCCAGGGCCCTCCCTGGTGACACAATGGGTTAAAGAGCAGCAGTGAAGCTCACAGCAGTTGTTTCAGCATGAGTTTGATCCCCACCCACCCCAAGATGACCCACATGGCAGAGCAGACCACTCCTGACCCACCTGCTGCTCCCCTCAGCAATGTACTTCGTCAATCAGCCTTTTCTGTTCCCCACTCTGTCTCTGGTGAATCCTCTCACTACCCCTGCACCTATGGCCTGTACCCCAGTTCCATATGCTTAAATAAATCTTTAAAATTAAAAAAAAAAAACCATTAAAGTAACTATTTCACTCACCATTTATTTTCCATGTTCAATATTTCTTTGAAATTATTCTAACAAAGCATCTGAATGGTATTTACTGCTTGCTTTCCATGAATCAGGTCTGTTTCAAGTTCTCCAAATGTATTAATTAATTTAATCCTCACAATAACTTCATGAGGAAAAGTAACATGACCAGCTCCATTATAGAGTTCAGAAAGCTAAGACATGTAAGTTGAGTACTGCCCACAGCAATAGTTTATAAGTGGTGCTGAGAAGTCTGGAATTCAGGGTGGCCAGTTTTATTGACTTTCCAAGAGCCAATCCAGTGGCCTCTAATGTTTATCTGTCTCATATTCCACAGTGCAGTGTGGTGCACAATACTTTTCTAGAAACTTACAAATTTAAGAATGAAAAACTTGTGTATCTATGAAAAGAATCTTTCACCCTTTCAAATGAAAAAAGGACCATCCCATTGTACTGTCATTGCTAAGAAAGTGGACTCAGGCATCATCTCAAGTCCCAATGGAGGCTTCACTACATCTTTGTGCATGACTGAGTAGATTATTCAATATTGTTAGGTTCAAATTCCTTAACTATAAAAGGAGTAACAATAGGGTTCTGATGGAATTCTTGTGAGAGTTAATGAGACCGTGTGAAAATGGTATCCAATAAATATTGTCATAGCAGTAGCTGCTATGGTTGCACCATGGACCAAATATGGCAACACAGACCTCATTCATTTCCCTACTCAGGTACATCACATACCTCTCCATATTCTTCTTCATTCTGACTGTTTTCCATCTCTAGTCCTATTACCCTCCCAACTCATCCTCCACAAGGTTGATCTAACACATTTTCTAAATGATAAGTTGAATTGTATGTTTATGCCCTTGTATGTATTAGAGAGAGAGAGAGAGAGAGGGTAAGTTTTTTTGAAATGCAAATACTATAAAAAAAAGTTCTAAGGCAAAAAGCTCCTTCCCATCTCGTTCCTGATCTACCCAGTTGATCTACCCAACTGATCCTTCCCATCTTGTTCCTGATCTACCCAGCCCTTGACTAAAGCTCCCACATGAAAATAACTACTACTAGTTACTTTCATGACTAACTGGCTTTTCTTACTTAGAAGCAAATTTATATTCTTTGCAAAAGCGGTTCTGTACTTTCTTTACTTAAAATATAAAAATGGCTTCCATACTAGTACCCAAAATTCTAAAATTCTCCTTCATTTTTTAAAAAGATTTTCTTCATTTATGTATATAAGAACTGGAGTGTAGGCCAGAACTCCAGTGGAGACAAGGTGAGAAGATTTATCAGAGACAAGAGTGGGAAGCAGAACAGGTAGATCGGACTGATATACACTGCTGAGGGGAGCAGCGGGCAAGACAGGAGAGGTCTGCCAGGCCATGTGGGTCAGCTCCCTGGCTAGGGATTGAACTCAGGTGGCAGTGCCTGAAGACAGTTTTATAGCACTGAGACTTAACCCCTCTGCCACCAAATTCTCCTTCATTTTTAAAGTTAAGTGGTACTATATTATTCAAGTATACCAAATTTATTGAAGTTTTTTCCTATTGATGTAACTTGTCTCCAACTTTTTAGTATTACAAACAATGCTGTATGAATAACTGCACACATGTTGGTACGTGTACGTGTTTGCAATACCCATGACTGAGGCTGTAACAATCTGTCCACAGGAATATATCAAAGTGCTTTTTCCATCCAACCTCATGGGCCACAAGCTTTTGTTTCTTTAGGGCTATCTTTTCTCCTGTGCAATCTCTTCTTCTGCTCTCGTTCAGTAAGGATCGCAGTGTGGCAGGGAGCTCACGATGGGTTAATCCAACCATGAGTGCTGCTAATTATGGACACATCTTGGGGGGCTTTGTTCACCTGGATTTGCTCAATGAAGAATCTACACTGAAACACTTAAATTCAGGGTTTCTCTCCACTTTTTTTAAGCATGTGTAGTGAAAATTCAAGTCTTTTTTGGGCTACCGCTGTACCAGCCTCACTGCTTGGCTTGAGTGCCACTACCAACTCCACCCTTGTAACATGGTACACATTGCTTCTGTGGGGTGACATCCTTCAGGTACTTGGTGGCTTTTCAGATATAGATACCATTGATAGCCATGTCAATTTCTTAAATGAACATGAAGACTTGAACCTCTTTATTTGCATGGTTTTTTAGGGTCTTTAGGGTCAAGACAACAATTTGAAATGCATATTGTGTTTGCATTGTTATTAGCAAAGCCTATTATCTGTTCTAAGATAATAGAACACAGCATCTCAACTGCTGTGTTCACATGTTAAGGTGAGTAGTTTGTACCAACCTGCCAGGAATGACATTGGGACTCTAGACCTGATTCTGCCACCACTATCCTTAGTCCTGTTAACAATTCTCTGGGTTTTATAGCCCCCACCTCCCCAATTAAAAGTATCATCATACATTTAGGTGGTTCTCAAACTAAAGGACATGACAGAAAATCTACTCTGAAGAAACCATGAGAAAAGAAACTGGTCACTCTTGATACCACTGTAAAAATTAAGAACACTTTTAGTAAAAAAAAAAAAAAAGTAAAGTTGCTCAATGAAATTTACTTGGGATAAAATGCAAAAATAACATTCATGAAGAACTAAGCTATGAGTCAATACAGAAATGACCTGGATTTGCCAGAACTGTCATTTTTTCACTGTTCATCTTCATGTCATCTGCTTCTGAATAAAATCAGACAAGCAGTGACAAACAGCACATATTCCAAAAAGAGTGAGAGAAACACAAACTTGAAAAGAGCAACTCACTCACAATCTAGAAATGAGTGTCTGTATTTAAGTCAACACCCTGTCCCATGCATGAGATATGACTTGTGCAGGACACATTGAGAGCTCTGCAGAAGTCTCCTTTGCACTCTAAACCTCCCGTATTTTAACTACCACTTTCTTCCTGGGGAAAGAGGAAGTGCTGGTTAGATAACACCTAACTTAAGGTCTGCACAAAAATTACTTAGCTGATAAATTCAAGGGAGAATTGCCCTGAGCATCTGCTATTCTGTCTGCCAGCCTGTCTCTAATCAATTTATTGTCCTTCTCTGAAAATCACCATCTTTACATAAAATTTAAGCAAGAGCAGTAATACATCCATATCAAAGTAATACAAAAATACCTTTATTTTAAATTCCAGCTGGGAGTTAATTGTGTACATCATTTCGGTCCTTTCCATTTTTCGGGCCCCTTCATTGCACAGTCGAACCAGCTAGGAACACAGAATAAGGAGGGTTAAGAGGTCAAAGAAAGAAACCACTTTCAAATGCAAATCTCTCTCAGGAAATAATTAGCACTTTAGAAGCTCCAGAGACTCAGTACTGAAAGCAAGCCACTCACAGTTACCCAGTTAAGAGTACCCAGTGGGAGGGGTGTCTTAAGGATCCAAAGACAGAGGGGAAAATGTCCTGGAGATTTTCAGGGTCACGCAGCCTCCTTGGGTTCCTGTCACAGCAAGTCTTCCACAATCTGCCCAACTCTGCTCCTTCCTTCTGCCCCTCCTCCTGACCTTCACCCAGAAACCTCTCCCAACTTCAGGACAACTGCTTCTTGCTCCCCACTTCCAAATCTGTGCAGCTAGAGGCAAACTACCAATTTCAAAAAGCAAAACTGGTAGACTAAAAATATATTCCTTGCCAGGAAAGGTGCAGTAATAGTCGCTTCCACTACTTCCAGTATCCCTCACACAAAGTGATATTTTTTCTGTAACTTTTTTTTTATTTAAATAACATTAACTTACAACACTGTATATGATTTAGGGTATAGGTTTATACCTCTTGAGATGTATGTTACCACTGTACACCCCCATAGTCCTTTACCTTTGCCAGCTGGACTCCCTCATGACTTTGTTCCCCAAACTCCACCTTTCCCCTCTATATATAATAACCTCAATTCTGCAGATAGATTTCTAGACTTTGTTTCTAGCTAGGTTTAGCTTGTCTGTTCCATTCTTTTGTTTCTTTCTATTCCTTGTATGAATGAAATTATCTAGTATTTGTCCTTCTCTTTCTAACTTATTTGATTTAGATAATCCTCTCCAGTTCCATCAATGTTGTTGCAAATGGCAAGATTTCACTTCCTTTATAGCTGAACAGTATCCCACTGTCTTCAATGGTCTTCTTTATTCACTTGTCTTTGGACACTCAGATTATTATTATAATTTAGCTACTGTAAATAGCACTACGACAAACACAGGAATGTATATATCTCTTTGGATAAATACCAGGGAGTAAAATTGCTGGGTAATGTGGTTTATGTACTTTTCATATTGTGGGAACCTTCCTTCTATTTCCACGATGTTTCGCACATCTACAGCAACAGTGTATGGGTGGGAAAAACCTACCATTTATGTTTCAATTAACTCTCAGAAAATTGTCTTTATTTTACTCATTTTAATTATTTTGTGTAGAAGAACTACGGTTCTTCTTCTACACAAGAGGTGTATGTGGGTGGGAAGGATTCACTAGCAACAGAGTGGGAAGCAAAATAGGCAGATTGACTGAAATATACTGCTGAGGAGAGCAGTGGGCGAGGCAGGAGAGGTCTGCTGCACCATGTGGGTCACCCCTCCCTGGCCAGCAATCGAACTCAGGCCTGAACAGTGGTAGCACTGAGGTTAAACCCCTAAGCCACCAGGGAGGCCTTAGAAATTTACCATTAGGAATAATTCTGGGACACAATCATTTACAAAGACAATGTTCAATGTAACATTATTCAGAAAATGTAATGAACTGGGTACCTTGTAAATCCTTTTAAGTGTGTACTTGCATGCTCACTAATATTTGGGTAGGAACCCTCTGGAAGGATGTACAGTAGAATGACAACAGTATAATCTCTGAGGAATTACTGATACATTTTATTTTTCCATCTCTTAAATACTCCAGTTTCTCTAAGACACACTTACTATGTCATGTAAAAACTATGCTTTCTAAACATAATTGCATTCTTACAGAATAGTACTTAGAGTAAAAAAATAAATTCCTTAATAGTGTCAATTACATGGTGATGACAGAATGGAACTTTTCATGGGGAAGTTTATATAGTGTATATGGATAGTGACTTTAAAATGATTCATACCCAAAACTCACATAGTATTATAATGCCATGTTATTTCAATCAAAATATGAAAAATTAAATTTAAAAGGCCTCTTATTACTTCCTCTCTGCCATTCTTTTCTCCTTACCAAAGGTAACTACGGTTGAACTTCTGATGTGTATGATTGTGGTACTATTTCTAAACACCGATAACAAACCTATGTATATAAACACATTTCTATGTAGATGTCACAGCAAAATCTGTATTGTCCTGCAACTTACTGTTCCTCACTTAACAATAGAGCTTAGAGATCGATCACTTTGTGTTAATAGATATACATCTTTCTCTTTGTAAATGGCTGAACTTATGAAAGAAGATTAAAGAGCTTTAGGCTATTTTCCCACAAAACGGAAATGCTTGTATTAAAACTACCTTCAAATGTATGTAGAATTTTTATGAGCTTGACAGTGAAGCAGTTGTACTCTTCTATGGAGGACTAACTACAAGAGAGCCACTCGAGAGCTGTCACTGGCATAACAAATTCTTGATCACCACTCCAAGCTCTCCTTTCTTAAACACAGCTATTGAATTCCCTGGAATTCTTCCTCTCCAGCTCCACCCCAGCATGTGAAAAGAAAATCAGGAAGTAAATCCATTTTTCACTTAATAGAAACATCTTTCTTGTTTCTGAATTCTTTGAGTAGGTTAACAAGTCTTTTCAAGGTTCCAAACTGGGTGTAATGTCAGTCATTTCAAAACACACATGAGCAAGTCCACTAAAACCTCCACATTGTGCAAAAAGATTTCATCAGTACTTTAATTACCAAAAAAAAAAAAAAAAAAAATTTTTTTTTTTTTTTTTCTAAGAATGAGAAACTATCTAGATACAAAATTTCACTAAGATAATTGTCAGGAACTACCAATTACTTTCAACAATGCTTTTGTAAACTGTAACTAAGTGTAACCAAGTATAATTCTACATCTTAATTTTGAGTCATAAATGGTCTCTATACATAATCTTCCTGCTGAAGATACTTTTATTTCCTATAATAATAAGGGTTTTCTATGAAACCCACCAGTGTTTCATCACCATGGAAAAAAAGATTAATTCTTAAGCTGACAGTATTAATGACTTCAGTTCCTATTTAACACTAGAAACAAGGGGAATAATTTATAAATTCAAGACTCATGCTCAAGAAAGAGAAAGAAATGCTGCCGTACAGAGAAAATGAGCCCTGGGAACAGGATTCCTTCACAGTGACCTTTTATATACTTACAGTACCACATAAGGCAGTTCCCTAACTCATTGCATTCTTTCAGCCTTCCCTAAAATTACTCTACATATGTCAAATCAAATGAACACAGTATAATCAAAAGATTTTTTTTTTCCACTTCTCAGCAATAACCAGATGTAATATAACAAAGTCTCTTTCAAGTCCAAAGCTACATCTTCTCCAATAGCTTCTCCCAAGGACCCTCCCTAACCACTACACCACTTCCTGCCCTCTGCCCAAGCAGGAAGCACAGTAGTGAGTCCAGGAGAAAAAAACCCACTGCCAGCAGGACCTTAGGTAACTTCACACCGATCGTGTTAAGTTTCTTAACTTGGTGCTTCTCAATGTGGGATTTGCAGACCACTGAGTAAGCAACAGATGAGTTTTAGTGACAGACAAATTGCTATGGTTTGAATGTTACCACCCGCAAATTCATATGCTGAAATGCTAACCACAAAGATGGTGGTACTAAGAAGCTGAGTCTTTGGGAGGTGTGTAAAGTCATGAGGAAGGCCCTTCTATTAGAGGTTCCAGAGAGTTCCTCACCCTTTTGGCCACATGAAGACACCGTGAACAATATACAACCCAGAACAGGATGCTCACCCACCATAGTGGCACCTTGATCTTGGACTTCGCAGCCTCCAGAACCAAGAAATGAATTCCTGTTGTTAGCGAGCAACCCTGACTATAGTATTTTATTATTGAAGTCAACTGGACTAGGTCACAGATAAACTTTCAATAAAAAATGTCCATTGACAGATGAATGGACAAAGAAATTTAATGAAGTAGAATACTATTCATTAAAAAAGATGAATGTACCTTTTGGGACAAATGGGATGGATCATGAGGTAGCTCTATGGCATGAAGTAAGTCAGAAAGTGAAAGTTACTGGGTGGCTTCAATCATTTGCGGAATACAAGACAAAGAGAACAAACTGGTAAAATACAGCAAAAAAAACTTTTAGATGCTGTGAAAAATATATTAGTAATAGAGGGGAAAGGGAAGGAAGAGGAGAAATTAGAGGTAACATGCTAGGATTTAGGTGCTGAAGCGCTGGTGGAGGGTGAGCACAGCAGGTGCACAGGTGGGGGTGTGAAGTGTTTCTCCTAAAATTTGCAGTCATGTCATTAACTGGCAAGTCAATACAATCTGGGAAGAAAAACTAGCTCAGTGAAAATCCAGATTTTGTAGTTATTGATGGCAAGGATAAAAATAAGTGAAACAGAGTCAATTTAAAGTTGATTAAAAAAAAAGTGCTTCACAGTAAAGGGGTCAAGAGATCACCACACTCAAAGTGGTATGGGGCTTCAAGGCGTTAGGAATCTTCGGAGGCGCTCATGTCCCCATGCCCCAGCCTAGTTCAAACATCCTTCTTCTGCCTTAACTTCTGCCACTTTCTCCCAGCTACAGATCCTTATCAGTAATTGAGCGTACCCATGTTTTTCTAAAACTTGGACATAACAAGCCCTCCTTCACTCTCTTCCAGCCACTCTCCTCCCCTGTTTCCTCACAGCAAGCTGCTGAAACAGACACAGCTAACTACCCTGGCCAGCTGCACATTCATGTCTGCCTCTCATTCCTCAACATTCCACACCCACAACTGGAAAGACAAACCTTCCTGATGATAAATACAATGACAGCCTCAGTCATCATCTCAGGGTCTTTCAGTAACATTCAATGGGGGTTCACCTTCCTTCCACCACCTTTTCCGCCACTTTCCGTCTATTAAGAGACCCCTGTCTTTGATACATTTTGTTTTGCTTTCTAAGTCTACCGCAGCTAGTCCCTTGGCATATGTTCCATGTATGCTGAGTTTCCTCACAGCGGTAACTCAGGCTCACTACTCTTCTGTATCTCTTCCTGGGTTCCCTCAGGCACTCGCCCACCTTCAAAAACCATCCAAATGCCGACGACTCCTAAATTTGTGTCTCCAAATCAAGTCTCTCCATCTGTCTATTCACCTAACTCAGATATTTGGTAAAAATCTCAACATATTGAAAATGGAACTCATTAGCTTCTCAGGTCCAAGACGAGACTCCTTGACTACTGTCCCCACAGAGGCTCAACCAGTCAATCTCCAACATTCCAGGCTTCTATGTTACAGCCCCAATATAGACCACTGTCATTCCAAGCCTAGTCAACTAGAAAAGTCTCATCACTGCATCCAAATTCACCTCTTCCCCATACATCCAATTTCAAGCATGAATTTGTAGCTTCTGCATCATCTTAAAAAAGGCCCACAGTCCCTCAATACTCTCCCCCACAGACACAGGAAAAACATTCCAGCTCTTCAAATTCCCCTAACATTTTCTTAACTAAGTCTCCAAACATACATAAGATGCTCCCTTTCCCTAATTCCTGGTTTCAGATAGTCTTGCTTTAAGTTTCAACTTACATGTCACCACACTTTTCCCTATCATGTCATTCACCATTCTTATTGTAATTCTTATTGAATGCCTGCCTTCCGCTTTATGCAGCATATTGCATGAGGGCAGTCAATACTTCTCGCTTATTCATCACTACTCTGTCAGGGGCTGGCATCATGCATGAGAGTAGCTGATAATAAATATCAGCTAAATGAAAGAATAAGTAAACATCTCTTCAGATACCAAAAGAAAATGAGATCTCTGTAGGCCAATCTAAAGCAAGATTGTCTGAAAAGTAAAAACACCATTTGCATCTCAGTACAGCCCATATACTTTCTTTTTTAGCTACCATGCTAACGGTACGCTAACGGATTTGAGAATCTAGTAATTTCCGGACATGTTTTCTTCTGAGGTATTAGAAAGGTTTATTGTCTGAGAAGCTATCGAGAGTTACCTTGCTTACTTCTTTGAAGGCCCGTTTGCAGACCTCATACTTTGGAGAGTCCTTGGGTGTTTTTTGACAGATAGTCTGCAAGGAAGTAAAGGAGAATAAAATCAATTGACTTATTTTGCTAAGTAAAATAAAACCAGCCATATGTTCTTACTCATTACAAACTTAATGCTGAACATAGTATAATGGGTGAGGACAAGGATGACAATAAAATCCAAACTAGGAAATATCTACAAATACAGAGAATCCAAGTAAATCCAGGGGATGGATAAAGAAGAAGATAGACTTCAGAGCTGGGTGAATCTGGTTTCAAATCCTACATTTGTCCTTTACAGCAATTTGCTTTGGAGAAGTCACCTATCTTGTTTCTGTAAGACTCAGTTCCCTCATCTGTAAAATTGGAATAATTCCAACTACATCACAAGGTGATTGCAAGAGTTAAATGACAACATGACGTGTAAATGATCAAGAAAATAAAGCTACTAGATTTTCTCTTGATGTATTTATACTACAAAAATTTTTTTGTGTGTGTGATGGCAAAATTAATTCTAAGTAATTTAAAGTGAGTTTACAAGGCAACTTTGAAATGTTACCAAGTGGAAACCAATAAAACAATTTCAGTTGTTTAAAAAAATGTGCGTCTAGATGTATTTAACTGAATTCCCTAGTGAAGTGCAACTGAAGAGAAATGTTATTTAAGTACATGTATGTATAGGTGCTGAGGTGGCCAAATCCTCCCACATGGGAAAGAGATTAGGGGAACAGGCATTAAGGAAGCTAGGAACTAATAAACCACTAGTGCCTTAAACATAGATTAGTACCAGGTCTACAAATCTACAATTCAAGGTTGTCTTATGTGATATGTAGCACAGTGGAACATGTGGGTTTTTATTAATGTTCTCAATATTTCTGACAATAACCCAATGTAGGAAATACATTTACACTGCAACCAGAACATGTTCATATAAATGAACAAGGCTTTTTATGAAACAATATTAAACTATATGGTGAGTTGTATGCATACCATATACTACATATTCGAATCTATTTTGTTTTTTAGTAACAGTATTCATGTTTCAAAAATCAGTTGCATGAGACATTTGGAAAATACTGACATGTTCCCTGAGGAGACTCTAGTGTCCACAGTCTTTGCATAATGAAGTTTTATGTACAAATGTCTGTATAATGAATTTGCTAGGAAGAATGACTAAAGCTTTACTCTGAATCTCAAAAAAGTTTCTGACCCAAAGAAGTTTCAAGCCCACTGGGCAATGATAGCATCAACCTCTGACATGGCACAATAAAGGGAGTTAAATAGTGTGTGTCCTATGTGTGCAATCTAGGCAAGCAATTTCTCAAAATTGAAATAAGAATATAAATAAGGGCTCCCTGGTGGCACAAGGGTTAAGTCTCAGCACTAGGAAGCTATCCGCAGCCATTGTGGTATGAGTTCAATCTCTGGTCAGGAAGGTGACCCACATGGTATGGCAGACCTGTCCTGTCTCACCCACTGCTCCCCTCAACAGTGTATGTCAGTAGATCTGCCTGTCTGTTCCCTACTCTGTGACTGGTGAGTCCTCTTATCCCTGAACCTCTGGCTTATACCCCAACTCTTGTATATAAATAAATAAATCTTTTTAAAAAAGAACATAAAAGACTGGGAGAACTCAGTCTATGCAGAATTTCAGGAAGCATGTTTAGCATGCATTTTCAGAAAAAAGAAAAAGAACCTCAAATATTCAGTACTTTATTTCTTGTTATAAAAAGTAAAGTTTGTGGGGTCCCCCCTGGTGGCGCAACAGGTTAGAGTGCAGCACTACAAGCTAGCTGAAGCTGCTTCAGTAGTTTGATACCTGGCCCTGGAGCTGACCCACATGGCGCGGCAGACCTCTCCTGACCCGCCTGCTGCTCCCCTCAGCAGTGTACTTCAGTACATCTGCCTGTTCTGCTCCCCACTCTGACTCTGGTGAACCCTCTCTCCACCCCTGAACATCTAGCTTGTACCCCAGCTCTGTATGCATAAATAAATAAATCTTGAAAAAAGTAAAGTTTGAAATAAAATCTCTGCATTTTTCTCAATATTTATGAGAGAGGACCCTAAGTGACAGGTGATGGCCCAGGGAGGGTATGAAGGGGTGGATTAAGGGAAAGAGGTGAGCACCAGGAGGCTGTGAATCCTAAAACTGCCAGAACTTTGGCCAAGCCACGCAGTGGAGCCACACAGGGACTCTGACTACATGCTTTGGTTCATTTCCAAATTTCAATGCTCTTCTAGAATATTTCTTAGAGTTTATAATCAGATATAGATAATGAACTTTATTTTGGAACTTTTCCATATTTTTTATAGTTTTCAGCCTATGTCTTAATTTTGTAAAAACTGATATTAACACCATGATCTAATTTTAAAACCAAATGAGGACAAACTATATCAACTGGATGAATAAGACACTACTTGGATCATAAGCTGGATGGGTGCTGGGTCCAGCCCCCCTCAGTTCTTCTCTGGCTCCCCTACTGTCCTGAGCTCTGCAGCGTGCCGGCCCCAGGCCCACTGAAAACCGCCCACCTGGCTGTGGCTGTGATTCACCTCAGGGGGCCTCTACTCACTTCCAGCCACGTCTTACTGATTTCCCTCACCCACTGTGTACAGTGCACAACAGGGCAAATCCATGGTCCTGCAATGTACTGTGACAAGTGATGCGAATGAGTCTCACTCCCTGTGGAAATGGAAGCACCAAGGCCTCCTGGAAACTTATAGAGAAGGGACCTTTGTAGCTGCTTGAGGAAAGTTCCAAAAAGATGACATGACTTGCACAAAGTCACAGGCCTAATGGCTCAGAGAGAAATGGCACGTAGGCTCTTAACTTGAAGAAATCACTGTTCTTCCCATTTCAAGACATGCTGAGTGAGTGGACAATGGTTATCTATATTCTTCAAAGGAACCACACATTCCTAATGGGAAGGTGATTTCCAAAGATATTCGGTTTTTCAACTAAAGAGTGCCTTCTTAATTAATCGGAGATTTTGCAGGAGGATATGCCTCAGTGTCAGTGGAACAAGAATAATGTTCTTAATCAGATTTGTCAACATTGCTGTTCACAGAGAAAAGCACCACCAGATCTTGTCTTACGTCCATCAGCAGGGGAAGGCGGGTCACCCTCTGCATGGGGAGAATGAGAAAAGAAATCATGGGTAAGTTCCTACAGTCTTCGTGGGACTCGATTCGGGACAAGACTTCCTTAAAAGATGGATTCGTGGCTCTAGGAAAAACAAGGAAAGAAGAATTTTAGAATACTTCCTTCTCAAGACGTAAGTAAAAACACATTCTAAAAAATTGTGATAAATTCACGTTATGAACGAATTTTAATATAAAACATAAACGTAAAATTATCATATGCAGATAATATGGTTTATCTGCCTTTGATAATCTGGGTGAATATAAGAAGCATTTAAGATAATGATATGAGCAACAAGATAGAATTGTATGAACTAGAAATTTACAGAAGATGAGTGCATCAATTACAAATTACTATAGAAAACTAGATTCCACATCTGATCATCTATGAGCACATTCCATGAAAATGATGATAGTAATAAGCTTTAAACCTTAGACAACATCCTAAGAAAGAAAAGTCAGTTCGACTGGTTTACTTGCCAGGAAGTTACTTCTTAGGTTTTCAGAGACAAAACCTGGGACTACCTCAGCCAGAATACTTCTCCTCCTCTCACAAGTGACACAAACAATGTTATACTACCATAACACTTTGATGGATTGTAGCAAGGTGCAACAACTCAGGGGGAAGTGCCCATGACCTTTAAGGAAGGTCAAGACGAGATCCCAATAAAGGAGGCTCAGAGAAGTCTATGTGCCACTAATAGACCTAGCATTTGGCAAAGGTAGAAGTCAAACTGAGGTGTACTGACTTTCAACATAAGTCCTTAAGCCTCCTCTATCATTCTCCTCCCATCATACCTCTTACGTCATCTCACCAAAGGGGAGGAGTTTCACTGTGATTTTGAGTAGTAAAAGAAGGGACCAGATACTATAACCCCATGAGGGGGCAGGGGGAAACCCAAGAAACCAAGGTAATAGCAATGATTAGCTTTATGTGTTTTAATATATTCTGCATGTTAGATGATTTGGTTCAAAACTGCTAAAAATAAATTAGGCAATACTCAGGGTAGCAAATTAAGAAATTAAAAAGAGATGCTTTCAGCTCTCCAACTGAGGCATTCTAAACTCCTTTTCTTAGAATCCTTAGAAGTGTTTTAGGAAGTTAAAAGAAACATTAGGCCCTCCCTGGTGGTGCAGAGGGTTAAAGCACATCACTAAGAAGCTAAAACCACTTCACCATGAGTTCGAACCCCGCCCAATCCGGAGGTGACCCACATGGCATGGCAGACCTCTCCTGACCCACCCTCTGCTCCCCTCAGCAATGTACTTTGTAGATCTGCTTGTTCTGCTCCCCACTCTGTCTCTGATGAATCCTCTCACTGCCCCTGCATCTCTGGCCTGTGCCCCAGTTCTGTGTGCACAAATAAATAAATCTTAAAAAAAAAAACTCTGAACCAGTTGCAAATTGAAACCAATGAGGTCCCAAGGTCCCACCCTCAAAAGAATCTGATTAAATGGTCTGGCATGGACCCTGGGCATTGTACATTTCAATGTTTCAAAGGAAAAGTCAAAATTGGCTAAAAATAAACTCACATCACCAGCAAAATTCCTTGAAAACACGACCACTAATTTTCATGTGGATACACAAGAAATGTTATCATTTTTTAAGATCTACACAATGTACAGCTGTACTTATTCACATTTATTAAGAGCTGAAAAGCAAATGAATTCAGTTCTAATTCAAGGTTTTATTTGCAAACATGCAAATTGCATTTTCTAACTATTATACAGCAACCTTGAGCCCAGTAGCTTCCAGCTGTAGCAGGAGTATCACATGAAGTGAGGAGCATGATTTTTTTTTAAAGATTTATTTATTTATTCATGCATATAGAACTGGGGTACAAGTTGAGGTGAAGGGGCAGTAGGAGGATTCACCAGAGACAGAGTGGGGAGCAGAACAGGCTGACTGACGAAGTACACTGCTGAGGGCAGCAGCAGACGGGTCAGGAGAGGTCTGCCGTGTCATGTGGGTCATCTCCGGGGCAGGGATCAAACTCATGCTGAAGTGGCCTTAGTTTCTTAGTGCTGTGCTTTAACCAGCTGCGCCACCAGGGAGGGCCACGAGGAGTGTGATTTTTGCCTCACAGGACACATGCGGCCATATCTGGAGATCTTTTGGATTTTCACAACCGGGGTGTGGGATGGCTGTCAGCATGTAGTGGGTTGGGCCAGGGATGCTGTTACCAAGCTGCATTGACTGGACTATCACCTAACAAAGACTAATCAGCCCCACCTGGTGTAGTGTTAACAAATCCTGCTTTGAACTAGAAACTTGCTAGGATAGGCAGCTGCGGATTTTCTACTCTGGCCTCATGAGTGAGGCCCTCCCTTGGTGGCACAGTGTGTTAAAGAGCAGCACTACAAGCGAGCCACAGTTGCCTCAGTGCAAGTTTGATCCCCAGCCCTGAGGTAACCTGCACGGCCTGTTCTGTATGCATAAATAAATAAAACCTTTTTAAAAAACGTTTCACGAGTGTGTGATCCTCCTCAATAAGTTGGGGGTTTTAACTACATCCCTAAGCAGCTAGGAGATAACCACAGCAACTGCCCACCATGGGATCTCACACGCATAGCACAGGGGCTACCCAAGTCCCCCCTAAACCCAAGTCCCCTCATAAACACAAGTCACAGGAGGGAAAAGAATGTTAACAGCCAGGAAGACCTGAAGCAGAGCACAACTGCAATGTGAAACAAAGAGCTACTGAAATAAACAGGTCCACGGAAATCAAACAATGCAAATATTACTGAACAACCAATCGCTGTTTCTTTTTAAGGATAGAGATGGCATCTACATCACACCAAACATCTCAGTAACTTAAACAGGACAAAGGAAAAAGGTGTAGAGGGAAATGTGGCTGAATGCTTCTGTGTCGCATAATATCAGGTCTCTAAAACTTTTCACTGCTTTCCTTCAGACCGCCTGCCTTAACCCTAACTGCAAGAGGTGGGATGGGGACAGGCAGCAGTAAATTAGCAATTTCTGTAAACATTTTAGTAGAGTGATCATTTGAATGGAGAAAGATTAGTAGAGAAAATTCTCGATTCTAGGCACTAACTTACTCTACATAGGTGCTTTCTCCTTGCCTCAGGCGAACACTTAATAGCCAATTAGCAGTTTAGAAAACTGGGGCTTTTAGAATGATGATCACCCAGGTAACTGGCAGAAATTAAAGACAAAAAAGAAAAATGACAATAAGCCATAATTTCATAATCACTTTAGAGGGAAAATCCTCCACAGATTAGATTTCTCCTAAAACACCTTCATTTTCAAAGTGATCCTCTTAAACATTTCTCCCTGGGAAATGTGCAACAGGAAACATTTCTACAAGTGACTTAAGTGATGAATTAATTTCAAAGTGGCTTCATCAAAGTGAGGCTGAGTAATGAAAACTGTAACATTCAACAACACTTACAACAATTTTTGCAGTGTTCGCTGTTGGTAGACTTCATTTGTGCAGTACTTCACATATGGGTCAAACGTGGATGCTGTATGTTTTTCCACAATATCACTTATGTCATCTATGAAGATATTATTCTGATGCCTTGCTTCCAACTCTGTAAAGAATCTGAAAAGATAAAGAAAAGCATTTAGACTTTCTCCCGTCTATTTTAAAAGGCAAAACTGTCCTGATGTACTGCCACTATGCAAGGTTTGAAGCGATCAACAGTACAAGAGACCAACTAAAAAGATTTTTTAAAATTATAAAATTTATCTAAACTTAAATCCATCATATTAATACCTATTACTGCAATTGTTGTGATACTGATAATCCAGAGGCTGCCTATATTTTTAGGTGCATTTTAAAGTATATAGCGTTCCCATATTTTTCAAGAACTCTCTAGGAAGTGGAAAGAGCGTACAGTTCATGCTTACATATTTTACTGTATGAAGAATACATAAGAAAAATACCCAAAACAGTACTTTCAAGTCTGAGTAAAGGCCCTCCCTGGTGGTGCAGTGGGTTAAAATGCAGTACCATGAAGGTAGCTGTAGCCACTGTAGTGTGAGTTCCATTTCCGGCCAGGGAGCTGACCCACATGGCGCAGCAGACCTCTCCTGCCTCGCCCACTGCTCCCCTCAGCAGTGTATTTCCATCAATCCTCCTGTTCTGTTCCCTACTCTATCTCTGGTGAATCCTCTCTTTGGTCTGTACCCCAGTTCTTGTATGCATAAATCAATAAGCCTTTTTTAAAAGTCTAAATAAAATTAATTCTATACAATAATACAAGATATTTAAAGATGTACATTGCAATTTAAGGTTGCCAGGTTAAATGTTCACTTGCTCAGTACAACTGTTAAATGTTCACTTGCTCAGTATAACTGAGATAAAACTAAATTTTAGATAAATGATAAACAGTATCTTAGTACAAGTGAGTGCTAAATATTGCAACCGGGCATGTGAACAGCCTCCATTTCACCTGGTAAATCCAGATTGCATCTCATTGCAACAAAATGCCAAAATCTGGTATTTGAAACAGATTTACTAAATTATTCAGCTTTCCTTCCAATGATGTCATTAAAATGGAAAATTCTTAGATAGTAGGCAGGAAAATACCCAATATTCCAAAACTGAATCAATGGCTTCCTATTACTGAATAAGGACCAGGTCTGTTAATACCCAAATAAATCAAACCTTTTCCTAATAGTTTCAAAAACAGCTAACCCCAAACTCCCACATGAACAAAAGTCATGCTTCTTGAAGAATATTTTTTTCTATACACTGATTCCTGCCTCCAAGAAATGTGAGCTTTCAAGGCAAGAAAGGCAAACAGATGAGGGAGAGACAGCACGCTCACATGGAACTAGAGGTGGGAACACATGTGTATATGGGTATTGGCGGAAGTATTTCTTTCTTTTTAAATGCATGAACTACATATATTTTTGTGGTGGTAAAAGTATCCATTACACACAATTCGCCATTTTAAGTTCACAATCTAGTGGCATCAATTGCATTCACAATGTGGTACAACCCTCACCGGGATTTCCAAAATTTTTTTAACCCTCACCATGATTTCCAAAATATTTTTTAAAAATATTTACTTATTTATTCATACAGAACTGGGGTATAGGCCAGAGATGCGAAGGGTGAGAGGATTCACCAGGGACAGAGTGGGGAGCAGAACAGGCAGATCGACGAAGTACACTGCTGAGGGGAGCAGCAGGCGGGTCAGGAGAGGTCTGCCATGCCATGTGGTCACCTCCGGGGCAGGCGGGGATCGAACTCATGCGGAAGTGGCTTAAGCTTCTTAGTGCAGTGCTTTAACCCACTGGCCACCAGGGAGGGCCAATTTTCAAAATATTTTTATCTTCCCAAATATAAATGCTAGTCCTTCCCATTTACCAGTTCTCTCTGAAAACCTTTAATTTACTTTCTCTCACTATGAATTTTCTTACTTTGGATATTTCAAATAAGTAGAAGCATATACTATTTGTCGTTTTTACCTGGTTTATTTCACATAGTATAAGGATTTTTAGATTCTCCCAGAATCTATATAAGCCTATATCAGAATTGTATTCTTTTTTATTGGTGAGTAATATTTCATTGTACAGATATTTATATTTTGTTTGCCATTCATCTCTGATGGACACTTAGATTGTTTCTAACTTTTGGCCACTGCCAATACTGTTTCAATAAACATTTACTCCTTGGTGGTATAACAGGTTAAAACACAGCACTATGAAGCTGTCCACAGCACTGCAGCAGGAGTTCCATCCCTGGCCAGGTGACACACATGGTGCGGCAGACCTCTCTTAACCTGCCCACTGCTCCCTTCAGCAGTGTATTTCAGTAGATCTGCCTGTTCTGCTCCCACTCTCTCCGATGAATCCCCTGCACCTCTGGCCTCCAGTTCTTATATGCATAAATAAATCAATCTTTAAAAAAAGATAAACATTTACAGACAAGTAGGTGACTGATTGTTTTCAAAGAGTCAGGGTCTATATTTAGAGGTAGAATTTGAATTTCAACACTAGTTAATGTCAAAAAATGATAGTGCAGTACAAGAACCACAGAGAATAAACTAAGTTATATACCATGGAAAGATTATTGAATTATGAAAACTGATCAAGACACAGCATTGGCCCAAGGAAATTATGGAGACAATTCATTACAATACAAGATCTGTAAGTGAGGCACACAGAGGCCAGGTGACTGACAGTTCAGTAAGCCCAGATGAGGGAAGGTGGGAGTTGGGTCATCTGTGGTGAGACTGGGAGCAGAAGGGCAGGCCATGTGGGCAGGGAAGCATGAGCAAGGAAATCCCACTGGAGGCGCTGAAACCAGTAAGTCGACCCATCAGACTGAAAACTGGGACACAGGAGAGATGAAATACAACCAGGTTGCGAGAGCTATGGCAAGCAGGTCAGTGAGATGGCTAATCTGGGCAAAAGAGAGTGTTCCTGGGCAGGGGAAAACAGAAGATACAGATTAGGGTAACGCGTTTAAAGGGAAGTTAGCAAAATAAAGAAACTTATGAGATGGGAAAGGCAAGGGAGATACTGGGCTGCTAAACAAGGTTTCTAACTGGCCATCAAGGTGGGTCACTGAACCATTCATGAACTCAGGGTTGGAGGAGAAGCAAGAAGAAAGTAGCTTTATTTTGCTTAGGAGATGTCACACAGATAGCTGAAAATACACATTGTTAAGGCAGTCTGGACTGGTTCATTTTTAGCTGGTTTTCTTAATAATGCAAAATATTTGTTATTGATTTTAACTCCATGTTTTTTTTTAATGTTTCAAGAAAAGTTAAAAAAAAACACATTCATAAAGTTGTTATCATGCAAATCTAAGGCATAACGATCTCAGAGGCAAACATCTTATAGTTCCTTGTCTTTAGCTGTTAGTCTCCAAGAATGCTCCTATATAACCAAAAACAACAGTAACTTGGCTTTTCCCAAAGAAAACAAAAATTTATCACTGTAAAAGGTTTGCCAAAATACAAGATTAAAAACAAAGTACTAATGAAATATCTGTTTATCCTACTTACTTTGATATAACATAAACCAAGTCATCCAACTTTTATGTTGACATTAGCACAATTAAGATATAATTTCAAGTTTTCATGTTAAATCTTCTACTGGTTATTTTGGCAAATTTGCATATTTCTGAGCTATGAAAAGACCAAGAAACGATTACTGATATATGTATTATCTTAATAACCAAGAATACTGGCGCTCTAAATCAAATATGAAGCAAAAGTAAAAGTATTCTGCCTTTCTGGATGGAACTTGGCATTTTGAAGTAATTTGGCTTATTTATTGAACAGATTTTTAATGTTAACATATTTCAGTATTAGAGATTTTTTTTAAAGATTTATTTGTGCATACAGAACTGGGGTACAGGCCAGAGGTACAGGGTCTGTATTCACCAGAGGCAGAGTGGGCCAAGAATAGGCAGATCGAGGAAGTACACTGCTGAAGGGAGCAGTGGGCAGGCCAAGGAGAGGTCTGCCGCACCATGTGGGTCACCCCCCAGCCAGGGATCGATCTTGTGAGGTGTCTGCGTCTAACTTCATAGTGCTGTGCTTTAACCCAATACTTTCATTATTTCCTTTTTGTAGAATTTCGGAGATCATCATATTTACAGCCAATCTTGCTACACAAATTTTCTTTCCTTCTACCAAGATTCAAATCTCAAGATTCAAATCTCAATTTCGGATTTTGGGAAGCTGCTAATTAACCAGACCAGTTTCCTAGAAACACTGCCTCCTGACTAGACACCCGAGTTAGCCCTCACTGTTGACTCACCAGCACCAACATGTTCACACCAGTGTTTCAAATGCAGTCGGCGCAGGCAGCTCCTGGCTTCAGAGGATGGTTAAACCAGCAACACCACAGGAAGTGGGACTTCAGGATGACTCAACTATAGGCTCTTGCCTGGCAGTTTACCCAAGCCCAGTACCGCCTCTATAATATTTCCTTGAACTGCACAGATTTCATACTTGTCAGTGTGCTGTTGGGACCACCCCCTCCTCTTTGGTTGCTTTATCAAGTGAAAACATAAATACAAAACTGATTTTTGTGGGGAAATAAGCCACATCTGATATACTCAGCACATTCACTTTTGCTTGCTGCACTTTCCCCACTCTTTAGTACACTGAGAAGACCTACAAGTGTCAGGTATAAAGGCTGCCACTAATATATTAACACACTTCTTAAAATTCAACTGGTGGGCTCTTCCCGGTGGTGCAGTGGGTTAAGGTACCGCATTATGAAGCTCTCTGAAGCCACTGCAGCACGAGTTCGATGCCCAGCCTGGGAGCTGACCCACATTGCACCGCAGACCTCTCCTGACCTGCCCTCTGCTCCCCCCAGCAGTGTACTTTGTCAATCTGCCTGTTCTGCTCCCCACTCAGTCTCTGCTGAATCCTCTCACCCACCACACTGCAGCCTGTACCCCAGTTCTGAAAACATAAATGAAGAAATCTTAAAAAAAAAAATTCAACTGGTAATGCCCCTAGCATGTTAGATATGAGTGCTCCTGATAGCACTTGAGGCTGTCCAGTAAATCTTTCAATCTCTAGAGATTTCTTTTGTAAGGACAACAAATCATTTTTAAGTGAGTCA